CCAAGCCATATAAGGAGACCAAGGACCTCAACTCCCACCGATGTGGGACAACTCAACAAATCTCATGAACAAAATTAGTACAGAAGCCAAATTACAGTGATTCAATAGACCCTTTATCCGGTTGAATCGACTCAGAACAAAACATTAGCAACATTAACACTGAACTAGCATTGCCAACACATCTACATCCTAGTGAATTTGATCCTTATGAGATTTATAAAGCAAACATAAATTGAATTAGATTGAGCTTCACTACTGACATTGGCTAGCTAAACCAATAAGGGAATTCAACAACCAAATTAAAAACAAAAAAAAAAAAACAAAACAATCAGTAAGATATTATACTTCATTCACATAAAATTTCACAAAGACGGAAGCATTCATAAATATAGAATTACACAAAAGTGAAAGATATGAACTTCAAAGTGAACCTTCACAGAAGTGGAACGAGCTACTGCCGACCAAACTTGAAGGCGGACAGAACCACTGTCTGAAGCTCGACGGCAAAGCAAACCAAAGAACGAGCCTCTTGCGACTGAAAATTTACTGGTTATTGGGGTTGGTTTTGAGGTTATTTTAAGGCTGTTGTGGCATTTTTTTTATTTTCACAGCCGGTTTGCTGCTAATTTTGGAACTGGAATTTTCTGTGTTTTTGGTTGAGAAGAGGGTGTTTCTGGGCTGTTTTGAGAAGGAGATGAAGCTGGATTTCTGGAAGTTAAAACGGAGGAGATGAGTGGAGTTTCATGGCTGGATTTTCATGGTTTTTTGGTGTGCTATTTTGTGACTGAAGTTTGTTGGGTTTGATGGAGGCTTCAAGATGTTAAGGGTATTTGAGGTGGTGGAGAAGATGGAGATGAGATGGGGTAGGGTGGCCGATGGCGAGGCGTGGCCGGTGGTGAAGCTGAGAGAAGCAGCGGCCTTCTTTATTTGAGGGAGATGAGAGGAAAACTTTGGGCGGCTGCTGTGTGTGTGTTAGGTTCTCATCTTAGGGTGACGAGGTTCGAAATGGAGAGGGTGAAAACGGGTTGAAGAAGAAGAAAGGTCGCTGGTTGAGGGCTGGTGGTGGCTGTGGTCGTTTTGTGTGAGGTGAAGAAGCAGCAGCAGCTGGAATGGGATCTTTTGGTTGGTAAAGGGTCGTCTCTGGATGCTGCTTTGAAGAGGAAAGGTCTGATTAGGGTGGGGTTTGGCAATTATGGGCTAGGTCCGAATTGGGTCAAATTTATCTTTAAAAGTGGCCCTTTAACTCTACTAGACTAAAAAAATTAATTTCTAAAATAGTAACTATAAAATTGTGAAATCATTCCTAATTAATTAAAACAAACTACATTATAACATGAAGTTATATATATTGATATTTTCGAAGATTATACTAAAAATAAAAATGGGTTAAAAATAATATTTTTTTCTAAAATACCTAATACCTTAATTAAATAGAGAAAAATAAAACTATTTTTTGTATTTTTTCAATTTTTGTGATAAAATAAAGTAAAAGAGTCAAAACTAGTTAAAAAATGTAAAATCTAGGGAAGGGTAAAAAATTACATGTCTACAACACCCACTAATATTTACTCTCCCAGTCCCAATTTGTTCGGCAACTTTTGCTTATCAAGAGTCAAATTGAATTTCTCTGAGCTAAACGGGAAGATTAAATTTCTTTTCTCAAAAGATTCAAACTCAAACATTAATGCAGTTCTCGCTCATATCAAAATGGCTCTAAAATTTTCTTTTTCTTCAAAATAATGGTCAGTCGGAATCTCGAAACGCCAAAAATGGAAAACAATACAGGGTAAAGTAAACAATAATCTTGGAATTGGAAAATAATTGCTCCTAGTTGTTACAAAATATCAGATTCAAGTTCTCTAACACGGTAATTTGCCTGTATACCATAATACCAAAAATTGGATAAATGGGAGCACTTGAGTTAATTATAAAAACTCAATTCTTTATTGGATATGGAATGATTTAGTAAATTGATTAGATACTCCTTTTTCTTCCACAAAAGACTAGAACTTTATTTCTGCACAATAATTATTTTTCTTTTATGAGTTATCAAAAAAAAAAAATTACTTCATCTTTGTGACTCGTTAGAAAGAGAAATATAGAGAAAGCAAAAGAAAGAAACAAGTGAGCTTAAAGTTACAGGCTTACAGCTGAATTTCGCCGCAGAAAGAGGTTACCAATAAACTTCAGTTGAAATAAACATTCATACCATGCATTCAACATGTGGAGTCTGGGGAGGGTAGTCTGTACGCAGACCTTACCCCTACCTAATAGAGGTAGAGAGGCTGTTTCCAATAGACCCTCGGCTCAGGAAGGGCCACCCACAGAGATAAGTGTTTCAAAAAAAATGGATAGAGGATTTACTACATGTAATGATTATAAAAACGAAGATGTCGACAATAACACAATACAAGAGCATGTGAAGCAGCAGCGGAAGAGTATACAGCAATGTTATAAGTGTCAGAAACCAAGGCCAAGATAGAAAATGAGCAATACAACATCTAAAGGATGTCCACAACATTGATCAGCTATGCGGTAAGAGCAGATAAGTCCAGAACAGTGTTATCAAAGAAGAAAAGCGCAAAAAAACTCTAAGGTCTATTGGGGCTTTTCATGCAAAGCACAAAAGAAGCGTGAACTTTAATTAAGAAAGGCGCAAATGGATAAAAACTACAAATATGTATATGTAGTCACGACTAATATCTATAAGCATGAATACTAAATATATGAACAAAGAAATTAAAGAAAATTTACGATAAAGTGATAATGTATGCCTTAGAGCCTTGATGACACCACTGAAGCGTCACTAAGCAAAGCGAAGCGCTCAACATATTTTGAGCCTCGCTTCAAGGTTTAAGCGCGCTTTAAGCGCACCTTTGATAACAAAGACATGGAAATACCAATACAATATCTTTAAGACCGTTGGTGACAAAGCAACTACTTCTAGTTCCATTGTTTACCCTACAAGTGACTCGTATCCACTTGATAAATCAATCAATCCACTACACCTCAATTTCAAACTAGTAGCAGTCAGCTACATAAATCCTATATGTCCAACAACAACAACAACAACAACAACATACCCTTTATAATCCCATAACTGGAATCTGGGAAGGGTAATGTATACACAGACCTTACCCCTACCCTGTGGAAGTAAAAAGGCTGTTTCTGAAGACCCTCGGCTCAAATCCTATGTATCCATTCTCCTTTATTTGGACTTATTTTATTGCAATACTAAAGTTTGTCTTTTATGTCAAACTAAGGTTTAACCAAACAAAAAAAAAACTTCTCTAAATACCCTACTTATCGCACTTATATCCAATGATAATGACATCATTGAACATCATTGAAATGTAATTAATCCAACAACTCAAATTAAACATCATTGAAATGTAATTTCAGAAAGGCCACACAAATATAGCTTTAAACACAAAATCAGTTAACAAATATCAATTAATCAACTACTATTACATTGAGAAAAGGGGAATTGGGTGAGGAGAGTATTACACTGCACTCACTAACAATTACTCTCACAGTCCCAATTTGTTTGGCACTTTTGCTTATCGAGAGCCAAATTAATTAATTTTCTGAGCTAAACAGGACAAGATTAATTTATTTTCAAAAAGATTCAAACTCAATTATTAGTTGCAATTCTCCTCATATCAAAATGGTTAAAAAATTACATTACAAAATAAAGGTTAAAGTTCACTTAGGTTGAATCTCAAAAAGCCAAAAGAGCCAAACAATTCAGGATACGAAAACAACAATCTTGCATTTGTAAAAATGAATGCTCCTAGTAGTTAGAAATATCAAGTATCTAGTTCCCTAAATAGAGAGATTTGGTAAATGATTAGAAGCTTTTTTTCTTCAGAAAAATACTAGAAATTTATAACTGCACAATAATATTTCTTCTTTACGGGTTATCAACAACAAAATACTTCAATTTTTTGACTCATTACAAAGAGAAATACAAAGAGAGAGCATATGAAAGTAAGAAGTGAGCTTACAGTTACAACGGTATTTCGCCGCAGAAAGATGTTCCGAGAAAATTTGCCGACTGACTACTGAAGCAGCATTACGTACAAAGTCCAAATTGGGGCCAGAATGTGCGAATCTTAGGGATAATTGGGCTGGTTGGCCACTTTTTGGTCTGGTTTTAAATATTAACCACCTGTTGAAATGTAGTTGAAAAATAACCAATTTTATTAGTTAGTTACAAAATTAACCTAAATAGAAGCCCATTCAATTAATTAAACTAAAAATAACCAGAAAATATATAATTTATATATAATCTATGTACAATATGAGTATAATCGTGTATAATCTATATATACTGGCCAGAAAAAGTAAATAATAAAACTGAGCGGCTATATGTATAGAGATCCCTTCTTCATCTCTTTGCTTTCTTTTTTCCTGAAATTTGAACGGCTAGAATATTTTTCCTGGAGTTTTGAACTGTCTTAAATAAGAGTCCGTTGGCCATTATTTTTTTTTTTTTAACTTTTCTTTTGATTTTTCCCCACTTTTTTTGAAATCAATATTTGGCCATTATTTTTCAATTTTCACTTGAAGATGAATTTCAAATTTTTTTAAATATTTGAAAAACTCCAAAAAACTATTTTTCAAAATTTTCACTCAGATCACTCACGAAATTCAAAAATAACCCAAAATTATATTCATGTCCAAACACAACTCTAATTTTTAAATACCATTTTCGGTTAGAAAGGGATTTCGCTATTTTTGGAATTTTACAATTCTTATGTCCAAACGACCACAAAAACTCCAGCATTTCTTTCTGGAGTTTTTAGCAGCCACAATTAAAAATTTATTATATTTTTTTTCGTGGTAAAAAATAATAAAAGTTGAATGGTTTTGAAATGCTGATTAAAGCTTGATTAGCAGTTCCAAAAGTGGCTATTTTCTAATATCTTCCGAATTAATACTTTCAATCTTTTATGGGCCAGCCTAGATTCTCCAGTAAAGAATACTGGGCCTATAGAAGCTCAAGAAAAGTCTTTCATCTAGGGTTCCACATAAGAACAAACCTCTATTCCTACCTTCTTGTTCCAAAGCGTCAAAGAAAAACCCTAGCTCAGCTCGTTTCAGGTTAGTTTCAATTTTTTGCCTTCAAAGTCCCAAATATTTAGTTATACGTATATTTCTTCATTTTATTTCTCGTTATTAAATTGTTTGTGCAAATCTATCAGTGAGTAGTGTAAATGAATTTAGCTTTCAACTGAGTTTAATATGAAATCATTGCATCAAATGCTTGAATAAACTTGGTTACATCTTACATATTGAGTAGATATTCATATTATTCAATAAACTAAAATTATGGAATATTGATATACGATTATTTATCTGTTTGTTATTTATGAGGTACATATTTATGCAAGATGATATTTTAATATAATTGGTCACCTGCCTAGTTAGATATAAGCTCAGTTAGCAGACCGATGAGCTTGTGAATCACAGCAAGTGTTCAAATTAGGTATTTATGAAAATTTGAGTTCAATTGGAGGATGCTTTTTTATTTTGAGGTTTTAATCAAGCATATGTAGAACTCGAAGCAGGGCTATACGTTTTGCATATCTAATTACAAGTTTTTGTAAGCTGAATTTGTGTAGCTTTGCGACTATTGAAACTTGGATTGTGAATAGCAACTTGTTTATAATGAATACGAAGGGGATATCTCAAGAATAATTCTATAATGCAAGCAAATGCCTTGGTATGTGAATTACGGTGATAAGCCCATCTAGAAGCAAAACTACATAAAAAAGACCATTAACAAATTTGTGCTAGAACACCTATAAGATACCATATGTGGAAATAGAACATGTTGGAATGTATATACACTTGTACAAGAGCATTTTGGTTGGCCTATGTAGTTGGTTGGTTTGGTTTGGCTCAGTAGTCACTCTAAAACTAATCTGGTTGAACTGCCCCATCTCCTAAGCCTTTAAAGATCTGCTCTTTCAGGGCCTCTCAGTAAATCCACCAAGTTTTGTGCATTCTTTGTTCATTTTGCTCCAGGAATGCCATCTTTTATTGATATTGTTTCCTTTCTATGGTGCTGTACAATGTCATATACGGGTGGAGATAAAGGAAAATGTTAGATACTGTTGCATACACAGTTTATATTTACTTGTTTGTTCCTTAAGATGGTCTTGTATTCAGTATCCTGGAAGCTGCTCTACGTGCGCAAGCTCTGTATGGATAAAATGTAGGACAAGAAATGCTCAACAATTAATGCTTCCCTGAACTTCTCCATATTCATGTTATGATCACAGAACTCTTAAACTTATTGAGATATTTCATGTTGTTTGAATTTTCACAATTGATAATGCTTCTTAAATATTACTTTAGATAATGTTAAACTAGTCCCCTGAGCCTTTACATGTTCAAATCTAACTTCTTAAAGTGCTTACCCTATTTTTCCTGAGTTATTTCTTGTTGTTTGGATAATAATCTTCTCATACGCTTTCTCGTCTCCTAGGGCAGTGTCTAATATTTTTGAATCACATAGACCTACTTCTTTAATTGCCAAATTATGTTTCTTTTCATGTTACATTGGTGTTTATTTGTCCTCATCAAAAATTTCCTACGCTTTTATAAATTGTTAGTAACTTCATTCCATGTCATCGGCGTACACAGGTAAACCATGAAGCATAACAATGTTATCCCCAACGGGCACTTTAAGAAGCATTGGCAAAACTATGTAAGGACATGGTTTAACCAACCTGCTCGAAAAACAAGGAGACGCATTGGTGAGTTTCCATTTGTTGGATGGCTTCAAGTCTCAAATTAAGCTTTGGCTCTAGTATACTTACATTTCCTGACCTCTTTTGCTTCTACAACTCCAGCTAGGCAGAAGAAAGCTGCAACAATCTTCCCTAGGCCAACAGCTGGACCACTCCGACCTATTGTTCATGGACAAACACTAAAATACAACATGAAAGTCAGATCTGGAAGGGGATTCTCTCTAGAAGAGCTGAAAGTGAGATTCATTCGATCTAATCTTGCACTAGATGCTTGCTTTTACCCTCTCCCCCCTCTCTCTCTCTCAAAAAAAAAAAAAAAGAAAGAAAGAAAGAAAGAAAAGAAACCACCTTCGGAAAATGGGAAAAATGTAAGAGTGTCGGGGTTGAACTTGTTTCCTTGTTGGAATCTATGTTTTGTGCTGAGCTTATTTAGAGTTTGGCATGTTGAGCTTACATAGAGTTTAGTTCTTGTGCAAGCAAGTTCATGGGTCAAAAAGCTCTTATCTATTCCTTTAGATTGGGGCAGACTCCATTTTACGCCTCTCTTTTTAAGTTGCAACCATGACTTTTGAAGTTGATCCATATCGTATTCTTCGTTTCCATTTTCATCTGCCAAAATACATCATTCTTTACCATGTATTAATGTCTAAAGGTTTTCTTTTGTTTTGTTTTCAGGCAGCTGGTATTCCCAAAAAACTTGCTCCAACTATAGGCATTGCTGTGGATCACAGGCGGAGGAACAGATCCCTAGAAGGTCTCCAGACCAATGTCCAGAGGCTCAAGACATACAAAGCTAAGCTAGTCATCTTCCCAAGGCATGCTAAAAAAGTCAAGGTAAACCTGTGATCACTGTAGTCATACCTGTCTGCTGTTGACAATGTTGTTGTCTTATTGGTATTTTCTTGGAGCAACTTTAAACTTACATCTTATCCAACACAATTGCACAGGCTGGTGATTCTAGTCCTGAGGAACTTGCCACTGCCACTCAGGTCCAGGGTACTTACATGCCCATTACTAGGGAGCAGCCCACTATTGAGCTTGTGAAGGTCACGGATGAAATGAAATCATTCAATGCCTATGGCAAGTTGCGTATTGAGCGTACAAATGCACGTCATATTGGTGCGAGGTTGAAGAGAGCAGCTGAAGCAGAAAAGGAAGAGAAGAAATAAGATAATAGAAATGTCTCATAGCCTTGTGCACTAGCAAATTGCTATTTTTTGGATGAGTTGGGATAATGAGTTATTTTGAATTTTTACTCCTGTGCTACGTGTTAATGAAGTCTTTTACGCTCTTGTCAGACTATAATTCTTGTAGTAGTGGTTTCCGTGAAGGTTAAGTTCTGGTTATTTTGTTGCTTTTGATATACATGATTCTTGCTCTGCATTGTTAATTATACAAATGAAGGTAGTTTTATGAATTATATTGTCTTTTACTTTGATTAAATAAGCCCCAAGCTTCGTGATTTTTTTTCTAATCAGTGTTGCTTCATCCAAAGGGATCAATGCTCTGTTTTGTTGTGTAAAGCATGTTAGAAATCTCATATTCCGACTGCTGGTGACAGATTGATGGTATGTTGATGTATTTTGGAGTTGAGCTACATTTCTGACAAATATTGACACGCAAGTTTCATAAGGGGAATATTCAACATTTAATGTGATTGATGAGCCTGGGAAACCATCTGTGTGAATGGAGGATAAAGAACGCATCAATTCACGGATTCAGAGTTCTGTTTTGCAACGCCAGCAGTGGACAATGAGCAATACTTGTGAAGTGGTAATGAGTTCCGAATATTCGGTTTGTAAATTTTGATTGAGGTTATTCTTTCTGTTTGGTAACAACTATGAATATTACCATTGATAGCAACAATTAACTAATACCACCTACAAAGCACCTAACTCCTCATTAACAATAGTGTTAGGCCTTGGGTTGACTAGTTACAAAGTAATCTTTGAGTAAAAAACCTACATCTTTGTGCTCTCTTTGAGTGTGAAAACAGATCTATCCTCTCAACTATATCCTTCTTAATTTGTGTAACTATCAATTCTGTCTGTACAATTATTCCTTCAAACAGTTTCCTATTTCTCTCTCTCCAGATATGATATATCATAGCTTCCAATACTGCAGCTGCCACCTTCTTTTTGAATCTCTTCCAATGCTTTCTGTTGATTTCTTCTACTCTTTGCTGCACCTCTCCAGCTTGCACGTGCAATCCCAACCAATTTAGTAGACCCTGCCTAATGTCTTGGGTTCCAGTACAATCAACAAATAGGTGTTGGACAGTCTCATTTTCCTGGCCATCACATAAACAATAGCTAGAATCCTCTACATGAACATGTAATTTTTGCAATCTCTCCTTTGTGAGTAATCTTCCTTGAACAACTAGCCATGTGATAAATCTATGTTTTGGTTGTGGTATTGCATTCCAAATGAGCTCAGTATTTGCTAGTCGATTCTGGCTTCCAATGATATCATTGTAACTACTTGTAATAGAGTAGTTACAGTTGGAAGTTGGTTTATATCTCCCCTCATCATACTATTCCTTCGGGTCTTCTTTCAAGGAGTTGAGTTTTCTCCAATACCAGCTACAGTCTTGAGGGGCTTTGTGTGTCCATATGTTTGCATCAGTTTTCATATATATGCCATGAACCCATTTCACCCAGAGTGAAGCTTTATTCTATACCAATTGTCATATTAGCTTTCCAACTGATGCTATATTCCAGTTTCTACACCCTTTTATGTTTAAGCCTCCATACTTCTTTGGCCAGCACAATTTTTCCCAGGAAACAAGTGATATTTTCCTTTTTTCCTCTGAACTACACCAAAGGTAGTCCCTGCACTTTTTATCTACTTCCTTTAGAAAATTTTGTTGGCAATATAAAGATGGAGCCCCAGAAGCTGTGGATTGAAAATAATGCCGCATTGATCACCTGAAGTCTCCTTGGATATGAAAGTTGTCTGGAGTACGTGTGGGTGATTCGATTGGTTATCTTCTCTATCAGTTGATAGCACCCCATTTTACTCCATTTCTATAAGGATAGTGGCAGGTCAAGGTGCCTAACAGGAAAAGACCCCAGTGAGAACCCTGTTATTGCAAGTTGTTGCTCCTTTAGTTGGTCATCAACACCAACCCTAAAGATATTGGATTTCTCCATGTTAGCAACTAGTCCAGAGACTTTGCTGAAATGAGTATTGATCCTACTTCACCTTTACAAAAGATCATTAGGTCATCGGCAAAAATCAAGTGAGTTAATTTGAGTTGCTTACATATGGAATGGTATTTGAAATCTGGTAAGTCACTCATACTTTTAAGAATTCCAGATAGGTATTCCATGACTAAGACAAATGGCAGAGGGGATATAGGGTCCCCTTGCCTTAGTCCTCTTTTACCCTCAAAGTACCCATAGTTTGATCCATTGACATTCACTAAAAACTTAGGGGAAGTCACAGAAGTCATGATCAAATGTATGAACCTTCCTGGGAAGCCAAATCCTGTCAGCACTTCATGTAAGAATTCCCAATTCACCATATCATAAGCCTTCCTTAAGTGTATTTTCATCAAGCATCTTGGGGAGGTTCTCCTCTTGTAATGCCTCAGTATATAATAACAAATGAGGACATTGTGCAGCATGGATCTTCCTTGCACAAAAGCAGACTTATTATCAGCTACTATATGTTGCATATCACTGTTTAACTTATTGCATATCATCATAGAGATGCCTTTGTACAACACATTGCAACAAGCTATTGCCCTAAACTGATTAGCATGTTCAGGAACACTCACTTTTGGAATTAAAGCAATGTTTGTAGCATTCAGTTGCTTTAACAATTTACCAGTTCTAAAGAATTCTTTCTTACTATGAAATTAAATGAGTTTATTTTGGTGTTATTTGTATCGGTTTCTATAAAATAACTACTGAACTAGACCTCAATGTTGGACCTTAATTTTCGTTGCATTCACAGGTCGTCCTGGTATGTTGAACATGAGGGACAGAGCAAAGTGGGATGCACGGAATTAAGGTTGTTGAAGGTATTGTGATCAATTACCCCTTTCTAAGCTGAACCTTTGCGCAACTTGAAAAATGGCTAACGTTAGGGGTGGGTTTGATACTGTAAATTTTCTTTTTTTATCGTTATATATAAATTAACTCAAAGAAATAAGTACAAAGTTAGATCCGAACAAAATCAATTTTCTAACAACTGCGATCACCGCCTCATGCGCTATTCTCCATGTGCTTTAGATTCCAGTTTTATCATTATTAAAAACTTTACCCAGTACTTGTTTGATTAGTTTTGAAGTTATTAAGAGATAAGTACAGATCTAACCAACAAGCGTTGTGGTCGAGTGGTAAGTACTCCTTCATCTTTAACCAGATGTCTCGAGTTCGAGCCCCTGGGTATGGAGTCGCCTTTGTTAGGGAGCGCTTTACTCCAAATATGGGACTTTCTGGCGCGAATCCGGATTTAATCGGGCCACAATGTGGATACCGGTGTGGAAAACAAAAAAAAGAGTACAGATCTAGATCCGAACAAAATTAATATTCTCGTACTGACGAACAACTGCGATCATATGCTGGACAAATTGAACTGCATCATCCAATAATGTTATTACTAGTATTTGATATCCCACATTTATGCAAGAGGCTGCACCTTAAGCGGTGTGACGTAGATATCCTAATTTAATACAAGTATTAGTGACTTTTTTCACGCACGAACCCGTGATCTATATGTCACAACTTTACCATTACTACTCTCTTTCAAAATTAATATGCTCGTACAGCTCTAGATCCGAACAAAATTATTATTCTCGAGTCTCGACTACGAACAACTGCGGTCATATGCTAGCTAGCCAAAAATGCATTCTGCTGATGCAACAATATTACTCTCTCCGTGTCATATTAGACGAGGTAGTTTGACTCGGTACGGAGGTTAAGAAAAAAGAAGAAGATTTTTGAAACTTGTGGTCTTAAAAACTTAAGGGTAAAAAGTTTGTGGGCCCATGACATTTGTGTGGCTATAAAAACTTCTCATTAAGGGTAAATGACTAAAATGAAAGAGTTTAAATTTAGATTATTTCTAAATTTAGAAGTGCATGATTTGTTTTGGAACAGACTAAAAAGAAAAGTACCTTATCTAATATGAAACGTAAGGAATAGTATTTATTAATGCAAGAAACAAAATTAATATTCTTGTACAACCAAACAAACTTTTATCCTTATTTAAGACACGTACCGACTGAGAGACTAAAAATAACTCATGTTTCCGCATCAACATATCTTGAAGAGCAAAAATTATTTATGCAAGAATGTATTTAAACTGTTTTAATTAAGACACATTTCACTTCGAGAATTGAAAAATATAATTAATATTGTATACGGCCAAAATTATATGCCTTCGATCTATAGGCTTGAGGGGTCGTCTTAAGACCAAATTCAGGCAAGGTCGAGTTCGAGCCCGAAGATAGGATGCAATGTCCGAGGATCGAAGTACGATGAATACCGAAGCCGAGTATGCTCGAGCCAAAAATAATGCCGTTATGGATTTCTAACAGAATGAGCGAGATTCCTGCCACGTCCCCAAAATGGCGCAAATCCCGAAATAGAATTGTACGATTCCGTACTAGGCGGTTAGACACCTGTCCCAATAAGATTCCTTAATAGAGTTTTCCTATTATATAAAGGGACCCCAATCATTTGTAATCATCATCTAATCATTGACAAAGAGTATATCTCTACTTTTCGCTCGTTGTTAATCAGAATTGTCCTTTATCTTTTATTGTTCTTACTTTATTGTTCTTGGTTCATCTCGAGGTCACTAAGCTCGAGGTCGATACTGCTAAAGTAACACCGATTTGATTCACTTATTTCTTTCATTTATACTTCATACTTCTGGATTATTAATTAGTATTGAACTAGATCGCATATCTTTAAAACCACAAATCAAATTTAATTGTTACTCGTATTTTCGAGGTAAACAGTTTGGCGCACGCTGTGGGGCTAAGATAATAGTGATTATTTCATTACTGATTCTCATTACACACGTTATTTTTACACTTTTTCTTGTCAAGATTTTCTGATTCTCAGGATTAAACATGTCAAACTCCCAAAATACACATGTTCATGACAGTGAAGGTCTTGGATTTCATGGGAAAAATAATAATGTAGGGGTCTGTAGGGGTAGGTGTACCACCGATAAACCTAGGGGAAATGCCAAATGTGGAACCAGTTGATATTAGTTCGCACATTGCCTTAAATGCAGACTTAGGCGCAGACCCCGGAGGAAGTGTACGTTGGAAAGCCCGATCTGGGGGCCAAGGAATACCAGGTGTAGGAGATGGATGAGTCACCCTCCAAGTGATATTCGAGATACTGCAAGTTCTGCAGATCGTCATCGCTCAACTTCAGAGTCAGAATAAAACTC